CTATAACAATTGAAAGGTATGTAACTCTTAAACCCTAATTAGTTAATTTCAAAATTAGCCTCCTCCTCTAGGGTTCTTGTTTTGCAATGCAAAGTTATATGTTCAATAGTTAAAACATAGATCCAAAGTAGGTTGAATGTGAACTTAGGAATTGTTTTCTAATTTATTTGTTTTACCTAAAACCCATCAGAAACGAAGTTCCAAAATATTTACACAGTGACAATCGATCGGTGAATTAGTCGATCAGAGATTGACGATCACGGACTCACAGTGATAATCAACATCTCATACTCTTAGTCTCAACGATATTCCAAGACCAAAACATTTACCCAAGTCACAAGGTAAAAGTTTTCTACTTTTTTTTTCACTTTTTGTTCCATGTATCAAACAATCAGTAAATATATTATTTTTATCAAAAATCAGATTATCAGATTATGTTTTTAAGAAATGAAAAATCAATTTATCATAAACGAGATGATAGATTATGTTTAATTGCTTATCAAAAATCATATAATATGATTTAGAAATCGTTGGCTTTTAAAAAAAATAGTTTATAAGTTTAATTTGTTGCGCGCTAGGAGTTAAGAACCTTTTTTTTCGGCTCGACCTGGGCATTTAAATCCTCAGGACCGGCCATATATTTATTATCACAACATGTATACAATGTTATCATTTTAGATAAGTTTAAGCCTTTATATATAGCTTATATATAGCTTGGGGTAATGTTGATTTGGTAAATATATTTTAGAACTCATAAGGTAATCAATTTATATTTAAGAATCTATTTTTTTTTCATATCATTATACATGCATTGTTTCACAATAAAGTAATAATTCTAATTGGTCCACTGTCATTTTGGACATGAGGATATGAACTTTAGCACTATATGACAATGCAATTACACAAGCCTGTAATGAATGGATCTTGGAAATTTGACTAGCTTTTGACACTCATATTGATAAGTTCTTAAAGTCAATAGATTATTGAACAAAGAGTGGACGGAAGTCTACCCCTAAGAATCTGAATATTAATTTTACCGAAGGTATACCCCAACATGATAACGGAAATAATATAACATTTTGTCCATAACGTGATAACTTCGTTACCGAAGGTATACCCCAACATAATTCATAAAGTTACAATGGATACAATGTTTTAACACAATTAATAAATTTTTGTCTAATTCTATATTTTTCGAATACGGTGGAAGAATGGAGAAGTCGGGAAAAATGTTCATATTGACATCGGGTATTAATTTTTTTTTTTTTTGCAAGTTTTATTTCTCTTTTAAATCATTAACACATTTATTATTTATGTGGATCTTTAGCGCCATAGTGCCTGTACGTAGAATTATTTTCCTATACCTTTTTGAGTCACGATCATGGACTTCTTCCAATATCTGCATACCTTGGAACATATAATCTAACATCTTTGGTGGAAATCCTCCACCAAGTTAAAAGTCCTTATAGACTGACATCAACTAATAGGTTAAGCGTCCAAGCATCCAACCATGATATTCTTTGTCTTCACAATGATAACCAATGACAGAGGTAGGAATTTACAATAGTAGTGGCACAAAAAAAAAAATCACTCAACATATACTAATAGAGAAACTTGAAACTCAAATATTTCCCTTTAGACTTCTTGCCTTCTTGGATGACCTAGTATACATTTTTCAAAACAATGACATTTGGAATAAAAACTTCTTAAGTTTAAAAATATAAGAAACTCATGAGTAGATTGTTAAGCATACACCAACTTGTAGATCTATATTTGGAGACTTATAAATTAACTTCATGGGTATTTCTCATGAGAATACAAATAAGGTAATTGAGAGAATAATTGCATGGGTTTTACTCACGAAACTCACACGTATTTTTATCAGGCAAAATTAAAATATTGATAACTCATAATTGTATTCATGATTTTGGTGGTTATTTTGTGATATTTTTAAAAACTAGTTTTGTAAGTGATATTTGGGAGCTGAGGTGTAAATATAGTCATTTTAGTAAATAACTAAATATAAAAGTCGTTATTTTTATGACAATTAATTTAAAATATGACATTTTTATGACAACAAAGTTTTGAAATATTACAGTTTTGTTTTTCTAGTTATCTAAATATTTTAAAACTTGACACCTTAAATTTTGTTTTACAGAAAAAGTATAATCTTAAAAGTAGTCATTCGAAAATATTGTATAAGTTGGTCATTTATTAAAATTTGTTGTCACCAAAAATTATCATACCTTACAAATGTAATTGTAAAGGATTACAAAAAAAAAAAAAAAAAAAAAAAAAAAAAAAAAAGTGCCAATGAAAACATGAAAAAATATAAGATGATAATCTCACTTAATCACATCAGCAAAATACTAGTCGTAAAGTAACGAATAACATCACGTTAAGTACTTTGTATGTCAACTTAACGAAACAAGTGTAAATAATATGATTTGTGAAAGGATAACAAAAATTACTAAAATAGAAAACATCTATTAGACAAATTAAATATATTGTGACTAACAGGAAAACAAAAGAGCAATTTATATTCAAGAAATGATATAATCATTTTCACGACCCTTAATAAAGTTATTAATCATTTCGCAATATAACTATAAACTATGATTATTTTTTAAATTTCAAAATTTTAATTTTTGTATGACGATCTTAAATAGAGCAATTTCGTAACTGGTAATTGACTGAGATTAATAATCATTTTCTAAAAAAAAAATCATAAGAAGAGGTCAACTTGAATTTATACATTTTGTGAATCAAAAATATTTATGTAATACAAAAATATCATTTCAAAATATCAATTTCATATGCGATTGTGGGATCGTACCCCCTCACCAAACTTTTCTTTGATTCACATGGTCATCTTTCTTCTTTATTACTACTTAATAATATAATAACAACTTTTAAATATTCTTTAATATTTTGTTAGGGTAAATTACATCTCTTTAATTTTTTTTATATTATTAGCATTGATTTTGAGGCCATCAATTATTTTTAAGTTTATTAAAACTTATCTTAAACATCAATTATTATAGACATAATATAAAACAACTATCAACTTTTATATAGATTTCTGACTTTTTCAATTACTTAATAATAATAATAATAATAACAATAATAATAATAATAATAATAACATGACATTTAAATACAAATAATAATGATCATTGGTCAAGATCTAAAAAACTAAAAAGTCGAATAAAAACTAAAAAAGTAAATGTTTAAACATTGATTGATTATTTAATGATAATATAAATACGAAAAAGTAACTACCGTTTGTTTAAGCGTGTTCGTAACAGTGTGTACAAAAAATATTTTAATATTTTGTTTCAATCCATTATTGAAAATATTTGAAGTAAACTAAAAAAATATAATATAATTTGTTTACGTTCACTTGTGATGGTTAACCTATATTTCATTTTCTTTACCAAACCAAATATAAAATGGTATAGAATAACAAAATATACAATTGTATAGAAAAACAGATATCTCAATCCGTTATACCCACTAATATATATAGACGATAAAATACTAAAAATTAATTTCTATTAATAACAAATAAAAATTGTTTTAATTTTTTTTCCTTAATAAAAAGGCTATAAATTGGGATTAAATATCTTATGAAATAACTCGGGATGAATTGGATATCCAAATCACCTACAGATAACACCTGATGATGATGATGATGATGATAATGACGAACATAAACTTCTACTTAAAAAACTAATCTACTATCGACCACTCAAACTTGAAACTAAAACAACCCGAAAAGAGCTTCGATCCAACGATCGTCTGTCTTTTTACATACAAACAAACAATTTTAAACTCATTCTAATCGCCAAATGAAGTCAATTTCCCCAAATTACCCCCCTTAAACTACTGAAGACTCACATTGATGTCCGTTGGCTTATTCCTTGACTCAGGGGCATTATAGGGAGACCAACTATCCCCACGAAACGAAGGTGATGACAGATTTTGTTTTGTGGTGGTCACAGAATACGACTCCTTGTTCTCCGCCGCCGGAACCGGAACCGGAACCGGAATCGGAATTGGCCCCGACACCGGAACCGGAGATGACACCGGAATCGGAACCGGAACCGCAGCGGTGGTGGGAATTGTGATTGTGTTGTTTTCCGGTTTTTGTTTCTTGGTGGATTTTTGTTCGTCTTGGACACCGGTCAAGAAACTTCCTACAACAATCTGGTTTATTACAAAAAAACCAAAAACAAGAAAATCAAAAAATAATGGAATTTGGTGGAGATATGAAGATGATTTGACCGGAGTTGAAGAAGTACCTGAACAGGACTGGCGGCCACCAGTAGCCCCGCCACACTGCCGCCAACCACCCGCCCATCTGGGCTTGATAAAGAAACACTCATCCCACCAGATCTGTTTCTTATTCCACCATTTTCAGATGGAATAAACGACCCCGATAACGAGAGTATCTCAAAACGACCCTAATCAAGATTTTCAAGAAAATAATTAGCAAAGATTATAATTCGTCTATTATACTTTTGCATAAGATCATTCTTTAAAATGGGTTTATGTCAAAAATGGGTAACAAACTTTTTTTTTTACTAGACATAATCGTTTAAAAAAAATACTATCAGAAGACGTTTTGTTGTTGACAAAATACATTCTTCTGATAATACTTTTTTAAAACGATGATATTTTGTAAAAAAAAAAAAAAAAAAGTTGGTTATACTTTTTCATTATATGATTTTTCATTCTATATTTTTATAAAAGTCATGTCCAATTATTACCTCATATGTCAAAGTACCACCAGAGGAGTCAGGTTGTCGAAGGGTAACACTAGAAATGACACCATTTGCAGACAAAATGCATATTGCACGGGGTCCTTGTTGAGAAAATGATATGACCTTCATTGTCACATCCTAATTTAAACCCAAAAATAAATAAAAGTTTGTGAACACCGATAATCAAGAATATTATTAAAAAACAATGTTGCATTTGCACATCTATCATATTCATACATATAGTTTCGCAAAACCCATAAGGGTAAAATAGTCAATTTACCTCTCCGGTATTAACATTGATGATATGAGGACTAAAGCTAGCACCAACCGCACTTGATACCGAATCACCTAAGCAGAAAACAACAAACAATGTAAGAAAAACGGAAAAACTTTATAATCTACACATTATATTGCTTCAAGAAAAGAATAAAAACTAGATAAATTCCTATAAATTATATCATTTTCAGAATAAAAACCTGGTTCAAAACTCAAAAGCGTTGACACTTGACAGACATAAAATGTGGAAGAAAACCCCCAGTGTTTTAACAGATAGGAACTTTGAGCCAACAACCAAACCCCACACTATAATAAAAGCAAAGTCTTGATCTTTACAAGTGTAGCTAAATATAGAGAGTGACACTACAATACAAGTCGTTAGTTCTTGCAACCTTAATCAAACCAAACCTAGGTTTTTCGAAAAAAGATTTCATTAAACATGTTTTTTTCTTGTCATGTATACGTATGTTATGTATGTATATATGTATATATCCCAAAAGGTAAGCAACAAAAATTAGAATCGTCTGTTGAAGATTCACTCACCAACTTCCACACAAAAAAGCAGAGGGCTTCTAGAACTATTCTATTAACATCAAGATCTATGTTGGAGGGGTTCTATTCATTTAGGTCCCACTTTCTAATCAAAACCCTTGAAAATCTTGAAATTATTTCATCAGATCAAATAATACCCACTTCACATTAACATAAAAACATAAAAGACTCGAACTTTAACAAGAAAAACAAAATCTTTATTTCTAGATGTTTACCTAAAGGTTGTTCCATTTCTTTGGGTCGTCGTTGTTCGTGTTTTGCAGCGGAGTCGGGCCGGATTTTGCCTCTTTTTACGGTGGAGAAATCGATCACTGGCGGCGGCGGAGGCGCGGCGGAGGAGATGGGTTTTGGAGACAAAGCCTTTCTGACAGATCCATCTTCAGCATACTTCCTGGGTCTGCCTCTTTTTTTCTTTTCTGTTAATGGTGTTACGCCTGCCGGCGGTGGAGCCGCCGGATAAGACGGAGAAGTGGCGGCCATGGCGGCCATTTGGGCTGTGATTGATTGAGGCTTCGGTGCGGTGGTAGGGAGCTTGGTGGGTGTCTCAGTTCTCGGAGAAATATGGTAATCGGAGGGTGCATCTGATCCAACCACTGTAACACCACTGTTATTCATTTCGCTTCCCTCAATCATCAAACAATATTTTTATAACAAAAAAAAAAGACTAAAAATCAAGAAACACAGAGGATTCAGGAAGAACACATTGATTTTCTACAATCTTTTATTAAAAAAAAAAAAAAAACTAGAATATTTAATGAGATTTTCCAGTTTTTAATAGTAGAACTGAAAACCCAAAACCCAGAAATTTTTAAACAAAAAGATTCGAAATTGAAAATCTTTTTAGAAGAAACAAAATTCTGGGAAACTCTTTTCGTTGAAGTGAGATCAAAGAACAGAAATACAGAGGCTTTTCATATGAAAAATTGTAGAAAATTAAATAGATGAGCCAGTAGAGTGCATGAGGAAGATGATCAATAATTTTAATTTGAATAAAAAGAAAAGAAAAACAATTTTTGATTTTTGAGGAATAATGGGGTAGAGTATGAGTATGAGAAGATAAAGATTGAATTTCTTTTCTGAGATGTATCGAAAATTGTGGGTGTTTTTAGATGTTAAAGCTATTTTGGGTTGCTTAGTTTTCTCAAGATTGTCTGAATTATAAATTAAAAATAAAAAAATATATTAAAAGAGGAAAAAAGAAATTATTTAATGTTGGGCTTTAATTATCAACTATTAAAGTGGAAAATATTATGTATTTTGGTTAATAAATGGGTTGAAGTCCGGTGAAAAGAAAAGTGAAATTAGGTTGCCAAGGCATGAAGACAACCTCTTTAAAAAAAACAAATTATTTAATTATATTTGATTTTTATAAACATAATTTAATATATCATAAAAGTATAAAAAATATAGTTATTCATATACAAACAAAGAAAGGTGAATGAAAACAATTGAAATTTAGAAAATAGCATATTATTCGTATTAAAGAATATAAATTATTTTAAAGGCCATCTTGGTTTCTACCCCAAAACAATGAACCTCAAATTCATACTTTTAAATTACTCAATTTTATTTTGCCCTCTTTCTTACTTTTTATAAGTTCTAGGCTTTCTTTAATTAATATAAAGAGTTAAAGACATTGAACAATAAACAATTATCTTATTATAATATTTAAATTTAAATAAAAATTATCAAGAAGAATATATGAAAACAAACAAGATATTTTAAAATAAATTAAATGGATTGTTTTTTAAAAAGAGAAAAAAAAACAAATTTAACCTAATTTACTATTTTATTTTATTTTTTCTAAAATAACCCAAAAAAATTAAGAAAATAACCCAATAACTAATAAAATTAAAATAACATATCATCTTTATTGGGCTGTGATTAGTCAATGTACCTATAATATTTAAGGTTGAAAAAAATCCTTATTTATACATTTTCAAATGAGTTAAAGAAAATCTTGTATGAGTTAAAAAAAACTACATTACTTATAGAACAAATTAGTTACATATAAGTTAGAAGAAATAATGATAAATATAATTTCTTCTTTTCGGTATATACAAATGTTTGTATAACCTTATACATTAATTCTTTTATAAAATTATAATTTATGATTTCATCCGACATAAAATAACTTATAGAAAATACTTATCTAAGATTATCTAACTACATTTTCATATTTGAAGATTAGAAAATTTACTAATGAAGTTTTTTTTGTTGGAATGTCTCCATAATCATTAATTAATTAATTAGTAATATTTTTAATAAGAGAAAATTGCAAATTTAGCAAAAAAACGCTAATTATTTTGTGGCAAATAGCAAAAAAAAAAAAAAAAAAAAAAAAAAAAAAACCAAATTTACATTTTTAACCACCAAAATCGCAGATGAATTAAACTCGTCTGCGATTTTGGCAAGTCATCTACGAAGATGCAAGCGGCTAAAGCACTTCTGTGCTTTAGCCACTTATACCTTCGCAGATGGCTTTTTTTTCGCTGTATATATTTGTCCTTCCCCTTCTATCTTCGCAGATGGCCATCTGCGATTTACTCTGCTTTCCACCTGCGATTTTGTGAAATTTTTCTTTTTTTTATTTGACTACGAAATTGATATGGTTTGATTACGAAACAACCTTATTATATATAAACTTTTTGTAACATCCCGTTTATTAAATAAATAAATAGATAAAATTAATAAATGAATAGTGGCCCTAAATGCAGACTAATTTAACAAGGCGTTGTTGTTTGGGTTTAAAATGTAATTTACGGATTAGTTTGTAAAGAATTTTGGAGGTTGAGGGTGGTTTGGTAAATTCTGGATTTAAATTGATATAAAATATTGAAGAGAGGGATTGAATGGTAAATATTGGATTAAAGTTAAAAAGATTTTATGGAGGCAGGGGCTAAAGTGTAAGTTTTGGATTTAAATTGAAAACAAATATTGTGGGGGAGGGACTGATATTGGATAAATGAATTAGAGTTTGAAAGATCACGGGATATACGCGGTGACCCTTCTTTCCGTCTTAAGGTTAGCATCCGAAACCCTAGCACATCCCTTTGCAGCCGTCACCATCTTCTTCGGGACTTCTCAGCCTCCAGCTCCACGCCATAGCTTGAACCACCGCTGCTCCGGTCACCGGCGAAGTCGAGGTCGCAAACCACCAGGCCGATACCACCGCAGTGGCTGCCGACGACAACGGGTTTCGCTGAAGACCAACGTCGGGGCAGTGTCGTTGTCGCTCTCGGACGTCCCCCCTCCTCCTTCTTCTTCTGTCTCGCCTTCACTCACGTCACCATCGCAGCCATGCGGCTGTTCAGAATTTACTAGCAAACTCCGGCCGCCGCCTGCCACCACGATGGTCAGGAGCAGTTTTGAAACTGAGATAAGTTTCACATCCTTGTCAGGAAGGAAGACAGGCCAAGTGGCTGTATGGAATGCGAATAGTGTGAGTCGGAAGTTAGGAAAACTTGCGAGTAATGAGATCGCATTCTCGGAATGTTTGATAGCAGGCCTTAGGGAATCAGGTAGGGGATTCCAGTCAGGACATGAGTTCAGTTTGAGATGTTAGGTCGTGTGTATGCTCGACGTTGGATATGTTCGGAGTAGTAACCAGCGACTGAGATAGTGTGGAAAGTGTTGTAAGACTGCGGAATAGTCGTAACATTCACTAGCAGACAGATAGTGTGAGAAAGTGTTGTAAGTCTGCGGGTGTAGTCGTAGCACTCACAAGGTTGGCAGATAGTGCTAGAAGTGTTGTAAGTCTGCGGGTGTAGTCATAGCATTCACAAGGTTGGCATATAGTACTAGAGTGTTGTAAGTCTGTGGGTGTAGTCGTAGCATTCACTAGGTTGGTAGATAGCATGAGTGTGTTGTTAGAATGTGGAAGGAACAGTAGTACCCACCAGTTCGGGTGCAGCCGTGAGGGCGTGGCCAATCCACGGATTGGTTTCGGATTTCCCCAGGTGAATTAGACCTGGTTGAGCCAGCGATACGACCGTAGGAACGCCACTACAGTTATGGTATCAGGGAAGCAATGGATCGTATAAGGTCGTTTGTGGTGCAAGGCTACCTTATAGTCATGTATCAATCACTTTTAGCCTTTGGAATTGGTGACGTCAGGACTCGACGTATGGACCCGATCAATTAGATCAGAAAGTCGTTAGAGCCACAGTGACAAGATAACTAGTGGAAACTATTGATAGACAAGGATTTCGTTCGGAAGTCGTGTGGGGCGACTGTATGAGAGCCTTTGGCTCAGCAACCGGGCCAGAACCCAGTATTGCAGGTGACTGGAAAACAAATTGAGACCGGGGAGGTCTCGGTGGATTTTGGAAAACAGCCAGGAGGCAGTTCAGTGTTTCAGGTAGTTCAGTGTTTCAGGCAGTTTCAGTGTTCCGGGTAGTACCCGATTGAAATGGACCGAAGGGGAGGCCAGCACCCAGATATGCTTGGCAGTATTAGCGTTATGGGGTTTCAGGTATGGATGGGTAACTAATTGTTTGGGTAATGCTAAGTCACTCACTGCGGGATTCATCTATAATGATTCTATATGGGTGGTCTGTCAGGGAGTCAGATCATATCGAGACTTCGGATTTCTGATTTAGTAAATGTGATCATGATGAAAAAATTTGTTCATCTTCGAGTAGTAGAGCCCTGCAAGGTTAGTACCGGTTACCTCGGGAAGACTGGGGTATACTCGGGATTGTGGCCATGACGCTCAAGTTGTTTGGCGTGACAGGAATGGTAAGGACAGAATCACCCAATCGACTGTCCGTTCGATCTTAATTATATATAATTTGTATACACTAAGTAATTATAGGAGGTAATAGTACGGGTCATACCAATTACAATAATCGGATTATAAACATAAGAAACATATACTTTATGGTCTTTAAGTACTAAGACTTTGACTTATTTACTAAGAAAATATTGGATTTTCTAGAAGAACACATTAACGTTTTCAATAACAAAGAACACATTTTTTTTCAAAAAAATACTTATGAACTCACCAACTTTAATATTGACACTTTTTCAAACCATTTGTATTCTCAGGAAAGGTAGTAGACAGGTACCCTCTCAGACGTTACGAAGACGGTGTTATATTTTATCTTTCGCTATAGTTTTAATGTTAAACAAGTATTGTTTTGAACTCAATGTAAATTCTATGTTATTAATACAATGGTTTTTGTTGCTTTGATTACTATTATACAATTGTTGTGATACTGTACATGACGTCCTCCGCCCCCGAACGTTTTCATCGTTCCGGTTTGGGGGTGTGACACAAGAGTTGGGCGCTGTATCATGGAAAGTATCTATAGTTATCAGGTTTGCCGGGATTTCGAGAAGTGTTCATTTGGTCTTCAAGGGTTGTGCGGTCTTTGGGTTTTGGCTAGTAATGGATCACTAGCATTAGTAAGCGCAGGCTGTCAGCAGTTCGATCATTAGAGGGTAAGAGGGATTGGGAATCCTTCAAATCTTATGTGTTGGAAGAGCTTAGTTGAATCAAAGTGGGGGAGAACCGTTCAGATAACCGGGAGCAGAAGCGGGCGTGAAACTAGGATGAGTTTCATATCCCCATCGAAGAGGAAGGCGGCTCGAGTGGTCGTCTGGGTTGAGGATTGCGCGTTTTGGGAGTTCGGGAAACCTCCCAACCGTTGGTTAGCGCCTTCTTGGTGATGGATAACAGGCTTTTGGTGGACCCAGGTTGGGGATTTCAGTCATGATTTTAGTTCGGTTTGAGTGTGTGTTCGGTTTGAGTGTGTGTTCGGATTGATAGATGAGCGGTAAGTCCTTGGGTTGTGGTAATGGCAGTTAGTATGGAAGTGTTGTAAGACAGCGGGGTAACCCATAACATTCACTAGTTGGCAGTTAGTGTGGGAGTGTTGTAAGATTGCGGGGTGGCCCGTAGCATTCACTGGTTCTTGTGCAACGGTGGAGTATGACAAATCCATGATTGGTCGCAGGTTCGTCAGATGGATTGGACCAGGATGGGTCCATTCGTAAGACTGTGGGAGGGACACATCATGCTTGGAATCAGGAAGTGGTAGGTCGTTGGAGACCGGGTATGATGTAAGACTACGGTTGGTCATGTAACATTCATTTTTAGCATAAGATTTGGTGACGAGATGGCTTGGGCAATAATTTAT